CCCCAAAAACGGCCCCAAAACCGCACCCAGAGAGTCCCAAAAATGGGACCCAGAGAGCCCCAAAAATGGGACCCAGAGAGCCCCAGGAACGGCTCCTTGGGAGGCTGGGGGAGATAGAGGAGTCAGCACCCCAAAACAGGACACCAAACCCTCCCAGAACGTCCCCAAATGTCCCCAAAGTGTCCCCAAGGTGCCCCCGTGCCCCACTCACGCGTGTCCTGATCGGGGGGCTCGATGTTGTAGCCGTAGCCCAGCAGGGTCTGCACCCTCCAAACCCTCCCAGAACGTCCCCAAACCCTCTCAAATGTCCCCAAGGTGTCCCCAAGGTGTCCCCAAGGTGTCCCGTGCCCCACTCACGCGTGTCCTGGTCGGGGGGCTCGATGTTGTAGCCGTAGCCCAGCAGGGTCTGCACTCTCCAAACCCTCCCAGAACGTCCCCAAACCCTCCCAGAACGTCCCCAAAGTGTCCCCAAGGTGTCCCCAAGGTGTCGCCAAGGTGCCCCCGTGCCCCACTCACGCGTGTCCTGGTCGGGGGGCTCGATGTTGTAGCCGTAGCCCAGCAGGGTCTGCACCCTCCAAACCCTCCCAGGATGTCCCCAAATGTCCCCAAAGTGTCCCCAAGGTGTCCCCAAAGCCCCCCGTGCCCCACTCACGCGTGTCCTGGTCGGGGGGCTCGATGTTGTAGCCGTAGCCCAGCAGGGTCCTCACGGCCTGGCACAGGCTCTCCCTGTTGGTGGCCTTGGTGCCCTCGTCCAGGAGGTTGTAGGGCACGAGCCGAGGGTTCCTCTTGTTCTTGATGTCCTGGGGACACGGGGACAGCGGGGTCAGGGCGGTGGGGACACGGGGACACCCCCGAAAGGGGACACGGGGACACAGGGGGACACGGGGACACCCCCAAAAGGGGACACGGGGACACCCCCAAAAGGGGACACCCCCAAAAGGGGACACAAGGGGACAAGGGGGGGATTTTTGGGGTCCCTTGATGGGGTTTGGGGTGTTCTGGGGGTGCTCAGGTGGGTCTGGGGATGCTCAGGTGAGTTCTGGGGGTTCCCAGGTGGGTCTGGGGGTGCCCAGGCGGGTCTGGGGGTGCCCACCTGGGTGGTGCTGTAGGTCCAGCCTTGCTGGACCCTGTCCCTGGCCCAGACGTTGTGCCCGTTCTCAGCGAGCCGATCCACCAGGGTCAGCTGGGCCGGCGTGAGCCGCACGTGGGACAGGTCCAGGGGGGCCGGCTTGTACCCGTTGGACATCGTGTACCTGGGGGATTCAGGGGGGGGGGACACACCTGTGGGACCCCCAGAACTCCCCCCGGCCATGGGGACCCCAAAAGGAATCCCCAGAACATCCCTGGTGGCTTCTAAACTGGGACGTCCCATCCCAAACTGGGATATCCCAACCCAAACTTTACCCGTTGGACATCGTGTACCTGGGGGATTCGGAGGGGGGGGACACACCTGTGGGACCCCCAGAACTCCCCCAGCCCACGGGGACCCCAAAAAGGATCCCCAGAACATCCCTGATAACTTCTATACTGGGATATCCCAACCCAAACTGGGACATCCCAACCCAAACTGGGACGTCCCAACCCAAACTTTACCTGTTGGACATCGTGTACCTGGGGGATTCAGGGGGGGGACACACCTGTGGGACCCCCATGGGACCCCCAAGCCATGGAGACCCTAAAAAGGGTCCCCAGAACATCCCTGGTGGCTCCTAAACTGGGATGTCCCATTTCAAACTGGGAAATCCAAACCCAAACTGGGACGTCCCATCCCAAACTGGGACGTCACAAATCCAAACTGGGATGTCCCAACCCAAACTGGGACATCCCAACCCAAACTGGGACGTTCCAACTCCAAACTGGGACATCCCAACCCAAACTTTGGGATTCTCCCAAACTGGGACTTTCCTTTAAACTGGGACCTCAAACTGGGATTCCCTACAGAAACCACCCCAAACTGGGACCCCCAAACTGGGATTTTGGGGACCCCGCACACTGGGATTTTGGGGACCCCCAAAGTGGGAATTTGGGGACCCCCAAACTGGGAATTTGGGGATCCCACACTGGGAATTTGGGGATCCCACACTGGGATTTTGGGGACCCCCACACCGGGATTTTGGGGATCCCACACTGGGATTTTGGGGACCCCACACTGGGATTTTGGGGACCCCCACACCGGGATTTTGGGGACCCCCCACACTGGGAATTTAGGGACCCCCACACTGGGAATTTGGGGATCCCACACCGGGATTTTGGGGACCCCCCACTCACGTTTTGGGGAGTTTGATTTTCTTCAGGTTCTCCTCAGCTTTTTCATCAGCCATGCCCACGTGGCAGCCCAGGGCCAGCAGCGTCCTGGGGACCCCC